TGCCCTACGCTGCTTTTTTTCTACGTTTTTTTTTGATACCTGGATTTCCAGGGTGCAGTCCTGCTCAGGCAGTAGTTATAATGGGCCTTAACTACTTTTAAGTAGTTAAAAGGAAAAATGGTACTTTTCCATTCCCAGCATGCCTCTTGTGGTGTCTCAAATTGCTTTGAGATGCTGCAACAGGCATGTGTGTGCTTGTCTGGATGTACCCTTTGAGTGCGACTCAGATCCTCTTTCCCCTGCCTGATCTGTTCCTGCTCTCTGCCAATGTGCTACAGGCTGGCCACCCCCAACACACACATTTCTGCACATAGGTGCGGAAATCCATTAAGTTACACGCAAGTCTACAGCTGTAGCAAATGGCACAATTTAAACATAAAATGTTAACAACTTAGCCTCACCAGAGGAATCAGGAAAGGGGGTGGGGAAGCACAGCCCTTTTACTGCCTTGGGAATAAAGGAGATGATTGTGACCATGGGTGTGGTAGGCAATATCCATCCCTGAGACTTGCTGGTGCAGCCCTAAAATGTCTTGAGGCCACATTCCCACTATACAGAGCCACATACTTGCTCTCCTGACAGCTTACAACTCAGCAGGGTGAATTACAGCTAAATAACTTAAAAAAGAATATTAAGAGACTGCAGCAAAGGAATAATCTTCTTTTATCATCACCAAGTCCTGGCATGTTATGGAGGGAAGAGGGAAACTGGGAAGAAAAAAAAACACCTGTGGAGCAAAGTGAGCAGCCAGATTCAAAGATGGAAGGAGCACAGTCCATTAAAAAAAATGCGCTTTGCAATACAGCCAATACCACCTGTAAAGTTAGAGCTGAACAGAACAGGCCAAACCTGTCAAGCATCTCCAAAAAGAAAGTACAGAACTAGCTACAGCTTTCCTGATTTAACATAACTCCTAAGTCCCAGCGATGCATGGCAGAGATCACACTTTATGTGCAGATTTCTGGGAAATAAATCCTAAAAGCCAGGGAATCCCCTGCTATTTGAGAGCAGCTGGCACCCTCATCGAGCTGAGCTTACCTGCTTGTAGTCACCAATAATAGAGCTGTTCTTCTTAATCTCTGACTCTGCCTTGTCTAGTTCCCTACGACACATCTCCTTCAGCTGTGGTAAAAAAGAAGAAACATGTCTACAGTTACACTATCAGAGGGCACTTGCAGGAGGCTAATTATGCCCATTCCTCCCTCTCTCTCACTTAACATTAAATATGGCCTGCCTTTCTGTAAAGAACAAAGGTCTCATCCAGCTTAAGTGGTGGTGGGGAAGGATCTGTAATACTGGTTTGAGACACTGGTGACACCAGCAACCAGGAAAAGCACGGTGGGTTGGAGCGAAGATTTAACTGGGGTTAAAGGTGACAGTTTGTCCATGGTGCATCTCTCTGCTCCTAACACACACTCTGTGCATCCAGGCTCTCATTTGACCTGCAACTAACTGCTGCTTTCTGTAGTTTACAAAGAAACAGCAAGCTCTGCTGTGCTGGAAGCAGCCAAAGCCCGACTTGGATCAACAAGCCCTTCCCACAAACATTGTATTTTCTGAATTTCTACACTCAGCAAAACATGAAAAGTGTCAGAAATGGCTGTAACCTGAGCAGACTCATCCTCTAGTCGTCGTTTCTCTTCTTCTGCATCGATTAACTTCTGTTTGGTCATAAGCAATTCCTTATTCAATGCATCTGCCTTTTCTTCCGCCTGCAATACACAAGTGAAGCAATGCATCAAGAAAGGCCGTCCCCACTACTAGAGAATAGTAAGTGCTTTTGTGCCTCTCCCATTTGACATGCAAAGGTGCAGACTCCAGTGGAAGCCTGCCCAGCCCCTGGTCTTATTTCACACTCTTCGATCTCATTACCCTTCCCAGTGGCAGGAGTTTCCATGCAAGGCACCACAAGAACAAATTTGCTGTTGTTTTTAGTACTCCCAACAGATTTGGGAAAAGCAGTTCACTTGGAAACTCTGTGCTTGCTGCACAATCTTCCCATAAACCTGAACATTGTCACAAGAGATCGCACTCTCCTCTTCTCAACTATCCACTGTTTAGCTTTAGAAACAACAGAAACAGCAAGACTTTGTTACTGTTTCAAAATGCATGAAGACCAATCCACATATACTGATGAAGGAGCATATTAAAATGAAAACACCTCCACAAAAATACAGGAACAATAAGCATGAGGATGGACGTATGGAGTATGCACACACAGTTATCAATAACTGAAATGATTGAAATGAAATTCAGAAAACAATTGACAATTCCTTCCAGAGGAAGAAAATTATAATGTGAATGATTATGCACAAGTCCCAATGATCCTTAAAAACAGGGTCATAGTTCTTAAGTGACGGGCTTTTCCCTCTTCACCACCACCAAACTGCAGCACATTTGACTCCAACATCAGGAAAACAAAGATGAGTTTCTGGAGAGGGGCAAAGGAAGCTAAGGGGTCTCTCTCACTCCCTTGGGCTTCACGGCTGGGAAGGTAGCAGGGCACAGCGAGTTGTACGACATTCTTCAGCACTCTACATCCAGGATAGCTTGCTAGTTTAAAATGTAGGGTGATCTCATGGCCCAATTTTAAGGATTTAAACACAGTTTCTTAGAGTCTAAGGGTCAAACTACATATGCCCACTGAAGGAAAAATCTCATCAATTTAATTGCACCATCTCTGGAGATGACAGGCTGTTTCAAAGGTTGGATCCAATTCAATTTCATACCCAGCCTTTTGTTTAAGAAGCTCAACAAACTCACATAAAAGAGTTATAAACAGTTACCAATGGATATAAAAACGCAACAGGAGGGATTCCTTCAGTGCAGTTTAGTCCAGGGTCCACCCTCTGAGCAGAACTACTGGGTGTCCTCACATCCCTCTAGGATGTCTCTTTAATGAAATGAAAGGAGGGGTAGTAGGAAGTGAACCTACGGCTGCTTTGTGAAGTCCTTGCATGGAACAGCGTGGTAATGGAACATACTTTCCTTATTAATTCATAGGAGATTTTAATACTAACAAGCTGTGGATAGCATAAATCCCGGAAACCACAGGGTGAACCTCAAAGGCAGCAAAGGTTCCTCCATTAGCATAAAAAACCCCTACGAACTTTCAGTATTTTTCCTGCAGAAAGTTTGCAGAAGGCAGTGGGAATGCCTTTTCTCTTATGCAGGTGGACTGGAATATTTTAAAGCCTGTCAAATTCTTGGTTCTACGGTTCCCCAAAGCCAGCTTCCTCTGAGATTTCAGAAGTGCGTGCATGCTGGTTTAGAACAAGAAGAGCCTGACACACAGCACTTCAGCTCTCTCCCATGCACCCCCAAGTGGGTTGGGTTAGTTCATTTTGTCCTTTCACATGTACTGCCAAAGCCAATCTTTCAAGCCCTTGCGT